TCTGGAAATTCTTATATATACATATAACAACTTTATGTTTATCGCTCGTATTGCTTTATCTTTTCGTGTTGTCTTGTTTGTTGATCTAGGAGCACAGCACATGATAGAACTTTTTTCATATTGAAATGCAGGATAGAACCACTTGTGTGTAAAGAATACCTCAGCAAGCGACCTGTTATCATACCCTATCACAAAGGTGGAAAGAGGTTGCATATTGGATTTCAGGTAAAGCATTTTTAACATACATGATTGTGGATCGCCTACCTTAGCTCTCTCTCTTCCGCCCTCCCCCACCCATACACGCACGCGTTCTCTCTCTCTCTCTCTCTCACACTCGTGCACTGCTGTGATGCAGGAATTTACTGAAGATTTAGCTGCTCGTTCTCAAGCAATGATGGATCGTCTAAACTTCGTAAAGGTGGGCGTGGTTAGACTCCTAGAAGTTGATATAACTTTCTAATCTGTTATAGGCGTACATCAGCTGCATCTATACTAATTGTATGTACGTTAAGATACTCTTTTAAGTAAACTAGGGTTTTGAACTTTGAATATGTGAATCCCCTTTCTCTGTCCAAATTAGTTTTTTAAGTTTCAAGGTTGAGTGTCAACTTATAGGTTATTTATAAGTTCAAGTTAAAAGGTCGTACCCAGTGCACAAGGCTCCCGCTTTACGCAGGGTCTGGAAGAGGTGAATGTCGGCTAGCCTTACCCCATTTTATGGAGAGGCTGCTCCCAAGTCTCGAACCCGAGACCTACCGTTATGGGCGAAGGCACTTGCCATCGCACCAAGTGCGACCTCTTATTTATAAGTTCAAGTTGCGACAAAAAAAAAAAAAAAATCGTAATATGAGACTCTGCAAGGATGAGTGGTTTGAATTGAAACCCTCCATGCTTTGGTTCCTATATTATGTTAGAAGTTATTCTAATATCAAGGTTTTGTTATACGTTTGAACACAGATTAAAGTGCTGACAGTTTGCCAGTCAAGAAATGCAGACAGCCTAGAAGGTAGTATATTTTGTCTTTTGATCCTTCACTCTGTATCCTCCTCTTCTTAATGATACGGATATCAGAGAACAAATTTTTAACAAAAGTGGTCCTCTGTAGTGATCTTGTTTTCATATAGAAAAAAGAAAGAACAGTCTGGGGTTTGGAAGTATAAACGACCCTAGGCCCTAAATATGAAAACATAATTCAATACAGTTTCTTTTCCGTCACATCTTTCATAAAGCTCCTACATATTTCTTATATTTGTTAATTTTGTTACATGGTAGAAGCAGCAGAAACAGCCCCAGAAATGGAAGAGAGATCATATGGCTCTGGTATGATGGAAAGAGTAACAGGAAGTGAAGAAGGGCGGATTGATCATGTGCTTCAAGTGCGTACATATGCCCACTACCTCATTCACTCCACAGACATACACAGACACACAAGAATTCACACTTGTGCACACTCGTACCTGTGCATACCTGAGTCTCATTTATTTTCCTTTCAAAAATATGCCTGCAACTGCTTGCCTTATAGCCTTGTTACTTTTACTCAGTTAGACACATAACAATTACTGACCTTATGCCATTAGTACCAGCTCATTTCTTTGATTCCTCAGTGAGATTTTTTGTTGATCATGCAGGATAAGACATTTGAACATCCGTATCTTTCTGCAATTGGGGCACATACGTACGTACTCACTTCAAATGTTTCCTCATACATGCAATTAGAATTGTTATCCATCATTTGTTATCAAGTGAACTATTACTACTGTAAACTGTTGACGCAAATTGTCGTGTATGCCTAAGCCATATTTGTTTATTTAGTTGCTGAGATTTTTCTTGCAATTGTTTAACGACCATATTAATTCAGCTCTTCTTGCCTTTATCTGCTACCAGAATGTTCCTCGTTTTCATTTAAAAGCTTAACTGAGTCTTGTTGTGCAGAAACTATTGGAGGGATTATGATACTGCCCTTTTCATATTGAAACACTTGTACCAAGAAATACACAATGAGAGCTCACTTGAGGAATCTAGTAGGCGAAACTCAAAAACTGAGACTGGTTTCACAGGCTGGTCTGATCAAAGAGAGACGGCAGAGGAGGAGCATCCTTTGACATTCTCTGAAAGTACGGTCAGAAATTTCTCAAAGAATGCTAACAAGTTTCCGAAAAACTCCATAGTTATAACATAGCTTTCCATTCATTTGTGGTTGCAGGATGAGGATGCTAAATTAGGTGGTTGCGGCAGGGATTGAAACCATTTGGAGTTATATAACCTTAAGTCTTTTTTCCTACAAACAATTGCTGCACGGCAGGATGTCCAAGCTATCCCAGCTTCCATAGGACCGTGGCAGACTGGAACTAGTTAAAAAACCTCAAGTTACGATATGAAGGTTGGCGGGCGCAGGGAGCGGGGAGCAGCGGGGGGTTGCGTGCTGGTGTTAATTCATATAGGTGCACATACAAGATATCTTGTTTTATGTATATCTGTGTAAAGAAACACAAATGTGGTCTTATATGCTGAATGAAATTAGTTTTAGATTTCAGAGTTGAGAATGTTTGTAGAATATTTGGTCAAGAATTATAAATCCTTGAATAGTTATTCCTAACATATGATTTTAATTTGGCTAAAGTGCTTTGACATATGTATATAGGGGCGTAAGGTATGTGTAAAAATAATACGTACCAAATGAAAAACACACAAAATTATATCTGCAGTGCTAGTTACCGCGGTTTGTTCAATGGTAGACTCTTGTTCTTTTAGTTATTTGGTGACCAATGATTCATGGTCATATGCATTCTTGATTTTGATATTAAGAGTTGAAATTAAAATAGTAAAGCACGTCCATATATTATCCACCATTAATAACAAATCCAAGAGTAAGTAACCATACATTTCTTGGTCACTTGTTAGTATCATGACCAAGAGAGAATTTGTGTTCAATCCACGGCAGTCTGCAGAGGAGGATCCCAGCTTCCTTCGACGTTCTCTGAAACAAGTTTACGGTCATAAATTTCTCAACGAACGAATGCTAACAAGATTCTTCAAAACTCAAGAGTTATAACATAGCTTTTGCGAGCTTATTGGTAAAAATTATATTTTTATTGTTTTTACTTTTCGTACTTAATTACGAGCTAAGGAAATAATATTAAAAAAAAACAAGTTTCTAATCAGGGACATAAATTTTACCCCACATAATAAAGAAGAAAGAAAACAAAAGAGAAATAGAGATTGAGGACATAAAACCTAATTCCTAGCCCCTCTAAACCAAAACTTGGTAGGTCTAAATCTACAAAACATGTTGAGAAACACCAAAATGTTAGGAAAAAACAAGGAAAGTCTACAATGTTTTTGTTAAGTGGAGGAGTTGTTTTAACAAAAATATCCTTAAAATGGTGGTCACGTAGTAGTTCATGTGACAATTTAACGAGGATATTTGATAAATTTTTCACGGAAATATCAAGATGATTTACGATAAACAAACTCAGGGAAATGCTATCAATTTTCTTTGTCAGAGATCAAAATGAGAAGTTATATCAGTCTTGAGAATCCTTTTAGCTAAAAAGCCAAAAAAACAAAAGGTGGAAAACTACATTTCAAAATCCATCCAAGGATATCCAAAGGGGTTTGAACTGGTAAGATTTGTAAGATAGCAACAGCTCCGGTGGCTGACTGCAAAGTCACTGTATGGACAAAGTATGAAGTTTGTTATTTTGTTCAAAGACAAAATGTACGAAGTTAAGTCCAACGATTCTTTAAAACCAACTTTCCACGGAACATGTACACCGAGAAAATTCTATCCACGTGTCTTTGATATGGACGATGAGTTTCCATGAAAAATCAAAGACAACGACAAGAGTAATTCTAAAGATCATATATCTTGCCGTGCTAATAATGTGTCCATTATAATCAATTAATATAATAAAAATGAAGGAAGTTGAAGATTTACTATAAAACTAATTAGTAATATAGAAAGTAGTTTAAATTAATTTTTTAAGCATAGCACGTGAACAACACAAAGCAGTCGTGGAGCATGTGTGGCCGTTAGGCTTCACACGCGAGACAACCTACTATGATACCATGAAGAAAGTTGAGGTTTTACTATTAAATCAATTGGCAAAATGAAAATAATAACCCAACATTTAAGCCAATGCAAAAAAAAAAAATTTATTAATGAAAGATTCATTCTTAAAAAAAAGAAAAAACACATCAAATGCGTACAATCAATTGATATAATTGGAAAATATAATCGCTTGAAATATTTTCTTAACAACAATGAGGCACGAGATGATTCACTAAAAAAAAGAAACTTTAACGAATAGCTTATGATATTGTTCACTTTAACGAAAAATCATATTTTTACTCTAAAAAGTCAATCTTGGTACTATTCACTTACAACATCTTTTTATCATTTTTGTTAAAACTCAAAGTTTTCAAGTCATTTTCATTTGTTTTTCTTAAAAAAAAAAAAACATTTGGAAGATTCACACCATAATATAATAGTCATCATGACAGCAGACTCATCACCGAACATTCTTTTTTTTTCTTTTCCATCTTCTTCATATCGTTGGTGGCATTTTCTCCTTTACTGATCCGATTCACATTTGTGGCAAAGATTCTTCGTGGAAAGTTAGTGCGAACTGGAATGGAACTGGTTGTCGTTGAGTTATACATGTGACTAGTCGTATCTTTCCGTCACACGTTAAAAAGAAAGAGAAACGCTAAGGGTATTCTCTCAAAAGTGAAACTTTTTATGGACTTTTTGCTAATTTCTGTGTCAATATTATAAAATATTGTGCACACAAAAAAAGATGGTAGAGAGTCTATAAAAAATTTCAGTTTTGAAAAAGTTAGTTAACATTTCTCTAAAAAGAACAAATAAGAAGAAAAAAAAAAGGAGGACCACTAGACCCAATTGTATGATCATATAATAATTGTCTTTTGTGATCACTGATTAGGATGGATGGCTTAACGAAATTCACAAAGTCCAGTCTCCGGGAAATAGTCGGTCTTCTTCCTATCTGGCTATGATCTATCAACAAAAGGACCAAATGGATATCTCATTTCAGAAACAAACCAACACCTCAAAAAATTTCATAAATAGCACGAGTCTGATGAACCTGCAAAACAGCAGAAAATCTTCAAAGAGTTCAGCGGGCACCAGTGTGGTTCCGAACACACAAACATTAATGCTCATGCAACTCACCTTAATAGAGCTACTGCTACTAGCAGCAGCCACTTCATCCCAAGCCACACAATTCATCCCTCCTCCTCCGTCGTCTCCGCCCCTTGATCAAGTTGGAGTCAAGCCGGGTTGCCAAGCCAAATGTGGGAATGTTAGCATCCCATATCCATTTGGTACAACCCCAGATTGTTACTACAACGAGGATTTCCTTATTACTTGCAATGACACACACTACAACCCTCCAAAGCCATTTCTTGGAGATAGTAACATTGACGTCACAAACATATCTGTCGACGGGAAGCTGCATATTCTACAATATATAGCCAAAGATTGTTACAACGAATCAGGTGTGTCCACGGAAAGCAACACTCCTTATATCCAACTGCCCAACTTCTTCATATCTGACACCGATAACGTGTTTGTGGTGGTTGGTTGCGACACCACCGCTGAAATTGTGGTTTTCCAAGGAGAAGATTATGGGTACACAGGTGGGTGCATTACAAAATGTGACAGCATTAATTTTGTTGCCAATGATTCGTGCTCCGGTGTAGGCTGTTGCCAAACATCGATCGCTAAAAATACGGATTATTATCAAATAAGCGTGAATAGTTATAATAATCACAAGGGTGTGTGGGACTTCAATCCCTGCAGCTATGCCTTTGTTGTCGAACAGAGCAAGTTCAACTTCTCTTCGAATCTGCTGACCGATTTGAACGACGTGGAAGAGCTTCCGGTGGTTCTAGATTGGTCAATTGGGAATGAGACATGCAGCAAGGTTGTTGGAAACAAACAAGTGATGAATTACGCATGTCATGGGAACGAAACATGTATCGATGTCAAGAATGGTGGGGGTTATCGCTGCGAGTGCCAAAACGGTTACCGAGGGAATCCATACCTTGAGGGATGCCATGGTAATTTTCCTAGCTTAAGCTTGTTTTTTGTATATCTTTCGTCTTTGTATTGTCATTAATTTGCTTTCAAAACTGTAGGACTACTACTAATTAATACAACTTGCTTTCTGAAAATTATGGGTCATGTTATTTTTGCAGACATTAATGAATGTGAGGATGCAAAACTCAATAACTGCGAACAGATATGTACTAATACAGATGGAAGCTATGCTTGTTCTTGCCGCAAGGGGTACTATGGCGATGGTAGAGTAGACGGAGAAGGTTGCACCCATAAACCAACATTACATATTCAGATTATCATTGGTAAGTACGAAGATATATATTTGTTGCAGTCAACAAAACGTAGCAACACATTATGTTGAAAATATTAATAAGTTAATGATGATGCGTTTAATTTTCTTAATAAACAATGGAAGCCTTGCACATAGATGTTATAATTCATACTTAATTTGTTGGCAATGTAGGAATCGGGGTTGGCCTCATAGCCTTGCTAATGGGAAGCTCTTGGTTGTATTTGGGCTACAAAAGATGGAAGCTCATAAGGCTGAAGGAGAAGTTCTTCAGGCAAAATGGAGGACTAATGCTACAACAACAACTTTCAGAACGACAGGGATCCACTCGCGAAACAGCCAAAATCTTCACAGCAGAAGAACTTGAGAAGGCCACAAATAATTACAATGAGTCTAAAATCATTGGCAGAGGAGGTTCCGGTACAGTGTACAAAGGAATTTTAGTAGACGGCCGAGTGGTTGCTATCAAGAAGTCCAAAATGATGGATCAAAGCCAAATAGAGCAATTCATAAATGAGGTACTGGTGCTTTCACAGATCAACCATAGGAATGTGGTTAAGCTTTTAGGTTGTTGTTTCGAGACACAAGTTCCACTGCTAGTCTATGAGTATGTAACAAATGGAACACTCTCTGACTACATCCATAATACAACCAAGGAATCCAAACCAAACACCTCGTGGGAAATCCATCTAAAGATAGCTTCAGAAACAGCTGGAGTGCTGTCATACTTGCACTCTGCGGCTTCTGTTCCTATCATTCACAGAGATGTCAAGTCTACAAACATACTCTTAGATGAAAACCTCACAGCCAAAGTGTCTGACTTTGGAGCCTCGAGATTGGTTCCGTTAGGCCAAGATCAGTTGTCCACAATGGTGCAAGGAACTATGGGGTATTTAGACCCCGAATACATGCAGACAAGCCAATTGACTGAGAAAAGCGATGTCTATAGTTTCGGGGTTGTCCTCGTAGAGCTATTGACAAGAAAGAAGGCGGTTTTCTTTGACAAGCCGCAGGAAAAGATAAATTTGGCTATGTATTTTCTGTCAGCATTGAAAGATGACCGATTGCTGCAAGTTCTAGATGATTGGATTGTGACTGAGGCAAACATTGAGCAGCTTAAAGAAGTTTCTAAACTTGCAATGAGGTGTTTGAGAGTAAAAGGGGAAGAAAGACCAACGATGCAGGAAGTTGCTATGGAACTAGAGGGACTGAGAAGGATGGTATTGCATCCATGGGTGAATGATGAATTCATTTCAGAAGAGACTCAGCACTTGCTTGGTGGAATATCAATGGAAACTATTAGTTATGAAGGAGGTGGCGATTCAGGTTTAGGGTATGATACAATGAGGAACCACGTCGCATTACCAGTTAATGGTGGGAGATGATTGTGCCAGTGAACAGGTCTGTTTTATAATTTTATTGTGGGTGTTTGTGTGCTTGTTTTGCCTAATGTTCGATGGAGTGATATCTATCAGTTAATTAATTTTAATTACCTTGTATAGTTTGGAGTAAATGTAACTTTATAGTGAATGGAAAAAAAGTTGTACTTAATGATTTGTATCCCATGGACTTTTTTTTTTCACCCCTTCTCAAACTACGTTCTTTGTTTTATTTATTTATTTATGCACACTTAACTTAAAAATGAATCATCAAAATCAAACAATTATGTAACACCAGGGTTTTTCCTAATTGAGCATTAAGAATTAACTAATTCAAATTTTGGAAAATGATTCTAACGCATCCCTTTGAACTTCTCATATTTTATTTTTATTTTTAATAATTGGATTGAATAAAATAAAAGAACCAACGGGCCATGATTAAACAGTTTTTACATTTTGACAGGACAAAGGGATCAAATAAGCAGGCCTTGGTTGACACACCGGACCCAGAATATCCACCTAAACACCTGAAAGATAAAAAAATCTTAAAAGTGTAATAATGTAGAAAATCTGAATAAGTTAAAACTTAAAAGCGACTAATTTAAAATGCGCATGTGAGAGGAATTGAACCCATATCACACAAATGATGTTAGAGCATAAATAATTTGCAATAAAAGAAGAGTAAGAACATTTATATCGAACGGAGAAGTCTCATACCAAACAACTTTTATCAACAATTATTGTCGTCACGAAACCTCCACCACTAAAAATCCTGGAGGGGGGGTGGAAACAAGAGTGGGTAGGCATAAAAATAAAGTTTTGTAAAAAATTTTCGAAAAGTGTAAAAACAAGTATATAGTTTCTAAAAAATATTATAATAATAATATGTAATAAATATCCTGCAACAGAAGTGAGTCAAAGATGTAGGATACAACAAGGTATCTGAACATTAAATCTCAAACTATTATTATAAGAAATCAATGCTCATTAATTTATGCAGGCACACAAGTCCACTAGAGAGATATTCAAACAATGGAACAGCCTAGGGATAGGTTTTACATTCTAATTCTACATCATGTGAGTTGCGCTAATTACATTACATACGAGTCCAAAACATCACACAAAATGACAGTCTGACCCCAAACTATGGATCCAAAGTGAAAGTAAACGATACATGTGAATTCCCCGTGAAGCTAGTCCTTGTCCCAAGACAGTACAAATAGTTAAGAAACACCGTGCATACATGTAAAACTGAGCAAATAAAATGCAGAAATGTCATGTCACAAGTTTATGCTCACAAATAATATTCAAAACATAAAGTACGAAAAATCTATTCGTAAACCAAGCATAACATGTCACATCATAGTAATGAAAGCAATTGACACATACATATATATATATATATATATAAACGAAAGACCCATTCACATATCCTTGCGATGTCACATCCTTTCAAGCTAAAGAAAGTCGAAGTCTCTAATCAACGTAAACGGTCAAATTTGAGGAAACGGAGTGCTCGGATTTAGAATCAGAATATCTAAATACGCTAATAAGAGGGATCCGAGCAAATTTTGTAAAAAATCTACACAGAATATTCTAAAGAATAATCCAGGGAATATTCCATATGCATTTTAGAACCTGGCCGGGCCGGATTTCGGGTTCGGATACGGATCCGGGTCGCGGATCTGGGCTTCCCTTCTTTCTTTTTTTCTTCTTCTCCGGCCGGTTTCCGCTGCGGCAGCCGGATGACGATTTGGCCGGGAAACTTCAAATGGTCATAACGGGTTCATTTCTCAACCAAATTCAAAGATTCAAAAGCCAAAATGAAGATCAAGAGGTAAGGAACAAAACTATACCTAAGTGGTACATGATTTGTGTCCAAAACTAGCCGAAAATGGCCTGCAATTCCGCGGTCCTTCGCCGGAAACTGGGGAAAAGAGTATAAACATGCATGCAGGGGTTAGAGCTTGAGATTGAGTTCAACAATTTACCCAATCTATCACAGAGACATAGAGGGAGAGATTTGATGTGTTGGGAACACCCACCAACTTTGAACTCGACGGCATTTAGCCGGAGTTCATCGTCGGGGATGAGTTCGAAGCACAGATGCTGATAGAGAGTAAACCTTCAATTTAAACATATAATTCACCATCACATAGGTTAAAATATCATCCATAAACCCAGAAATTTAGAGAAGAAGGCATAGTTCAACTGGGTTCAAGCTTTGAGAGCTATGGAGCTCTCATCTTCAATGGTGCCGAGGTCCTCACTGCAGCGATCTCACATGCAAGACCACCAATGTGATCCTTGCATCCCACAGACTTCGAATATGTAGAAAATAGGGCTTAGTTGTGAAGGTAAGTGGGAGAGTGAGAGCTCTCTTCTCTCGGGTTTAGAGAGAGTGAGGTTTTCAGAAAAATGAGGAAGTGCAATGGAGAGAGGTTGAGACAGATGAGTGAAATGAAAGTGGAAATTAATTGTTGAGTGAGTGGGTAGAGAGAGACAGAGAGGGTTGTGAACTTGTGAGTGAGTGAATGAAGTGAAAAGGGGAAGAGTGAGAGATGTGACGTGAGAGAGGGGAGAGAGAGGAACCGGATCCCTTCCGGACCCAAATAAGTTGAATCATCTGAGCTAATGATCTGAATCGTTAAAATTTGATTAAATAGCTAAAAAAGGAATTCTCAAAAAATTATAATAATTATAATTGTTGAATCAAATTTTAATAGTAATCATTTGCTCAGAAAACTCAATTTATTTGGATCCGGAGAGGATCCGGTTTCAGGGAGAAAGAAAGCAACGGGTGAGAGAATGAGAGACCGGCCAAAAAAAGGAAGAAAATTATGGTGATGTGTGTGATGGAACAAGTGTGGGTTTTCAAAATCCAAAAGAAATATTATTTTAATAGCACACTTGTCCACAACCCATGTGATGTTCAATTTTTCAAACCCATGCATTTAGTCTGCACCAGGGTTATCAGATAGACAAGACTGAGGCAGCCTACTGCCGGAAGCCACAGTACAAGTTTTGAAATTATCCCGGTAATTTTACTTAGTTTTGAACATAACGAGTTCGTCACAACTTCGAATTAAGTTCTGCTTATACCTACACGTTTGTAAAAATAAGTAGTATTTAAAAATAGTAAAATAAGAGTGAAAAAGTGAAGGAAAAATTAAGGTTGTGTGGAAGGCTTATGCGGCATCTCATGGGCAATTTGATAATTTCACTACTACTAAGAATAAAATACAATAAATTTCAGAACGTTATGTCACAATTGGATTAGGAGTATGAAGGAAAATGCAACGGAGATGAGGATGCTTTGTTGGATATGTAAGCACACAAGAAATAATATGATTAAGAATGAGGATATCCGAGTTAAAGTAGGAGTGGCCGTAATTGAAGACAAAATGAGAGAAAATTGGTTAAGATGATTTGGACACGTAAACCGAAGACCTACAGATGCTCGGGTTAGAAGATGCGGCTGTGCGAGGGAATCTTAGGGTAAAAGGGATATAAAAAAACCTAAGAAGACTTTGAAAGAAACTATAATAAAAGATATAGATTATTTAGAGCTAATAAAAGACTTGGCGTAAAATTGAGTGTAATAGCATTCCAGGATTCATAATCATATTTAGTGAGATAAAGTTTAATTGTTGCTATTGTTGTATATAAATAAACTTTAAAATTAATTGACTTTCCAAGATAAACCCAAAGAAGATTCACATACCGTGATTTGTATGAAAACCATACACAATACAACAAATACTGTAATGAATTCAGGTGTTTGGAGACGCTGATATAATAAGAGATGTGATATCTACACATCTCTTTTTATTTCTTAAGTATCTTTTTAATTTTTGGCCATCAGATTGAATGAATTGAAGAAGATTAAATGACAAAAATAAAAAAAATGTGTGTGAGAAGTAAAAGAGATGTGTGGATAACACTTCCCTATAATAAAATAGAAAATGTAACTGGTTCTCTACAAGGATCGAGACTACCAATTTATTAAGAGGAAGCACAATTACTATTTAACTTAACCCAAGTTACCAACCATTATTGGAGGAAGTCAACAACCCTCTAAAGTAAACACTTGTTAGAGCAACTCCATCCATGGAGCCCTCCCCCTGGCAATCCACTATTCAATCCACCCTATTGAACAGTAACTGTCTTAAATGAATAGTAATTACCATTAATGAACAGTAATTGCCATTTACATCTCCACCCTTAGAACCCTCCCCCCTGGCAATAAGCAATAAAAATAATAGTTTTGTATGTTTGTTTAAATAATAAAAAATTACAAAAGCTATCTCTCTCTCTCTCTGACACAAAAAAAATACAAAAATACAAAACCCTCGGGCCACAGGCCCGTCGACTCCCCACCCCCCCCTTCGCTCGACCTCCCACCCTCACTCGGGCCCTTCCCCGCTGGATTTGCTCCCACCGGCCCGAGGGCCCTTTCTCCTCGCCTGACGCCCGAGCAACCAGCAAGGCTGGAGTTGCTCTTATGAAGCACGAGAGACGGAAATACTAGAACAAAAATTTGGCTTTTGGAATTCTTTGAAGAACCAGCTATATCCAAAAATAAAAAGGATTTAGAGCAATGAATCATATTTTATATAAGGGGTGTGATATCCACACATTTTATTTTACTTCTCACATACCTTTTTAATTTTCGACCGTCGGATCAGATGAATTGAAGAAGATCAATGGACATAAATTATCAAGAATGTGTGAGAAGTAAAATGAGATGTGTGGATAGCACAATCCTTTATATAAAATGTATGTGGGTGGCTAGAGTCGAAAGGGAATTATCTTAGTTAAATAAATGAGTTCATAAAGGAATTATCTATCTACAAGACTACAAACAATGTAGTTAGTGTGAAATGAGTTGATTGGTGGTTTCTATCTTGCTCGTTGAATTGATGTGATCTCTTATTTTGAGGATGGTTTTATGTGTGTTTTAGTGTTGAATCTGTTGCGTCTATCATCTTTTGCTAATTTATGATGCGAATTACTCTCCAAATTAAAAAAATAATAATTGAAGAAAATGCCATATTTTTTGTCAAAACTGAAAATAAATAAATAAATAAGATGTACTCTTTTTGCACCATATTGTACCTAATATGTTCTTAGGAGACATGAAGACGTAAAAAAGAGGATCATATCAATTTGTTCCGACCTAAAATAATAAGTTCATGGGCTTAATCTTTATTAATGAAATATGCCTATCGCTTTGTGTCAAAGAAAAGACATTGGTTTTTTGGTCAGTTTCACATCAGCTAATTTAACCATTTCTTGATCAACTTAATGAAATGGATGACATGACAAAATCAGTGAAAACAAAAAAATAAACTCACAAAGTTGCAACTTCAAGGAGAAAAATGGAACTTACATACAAATTAAGCCTAAAACAAAGATTAGGTGGGCTGAACATCAGTGTACTTTGGTTGGTTGGCAAAATATATAAAATTAAGAAAACTAATGGAAATTACTTGAAAATTTTGAGTTTTAATCAAAATAACAAAAAGATGTTGTAAGTGAATAATACTATGAGTAACTTTTTAGAGTAAAAATGTCATTTTCGTTAAAAGTGAACAGTCTCTAAGTTTTTTCTTTAGGCACAACACCTCATTGGCAGAAAAATATGAAGTTCCTCCAAAGACTTGCATAGTGCTTTAATAATACTTGTGGATAAAATTGGTGGCTCATCAGATAATTGTATATAGAGACCAATTAATGATAGTAATTTAATTGTGAAGTTTGCCTATATGTTAGATCTAAACGGTAATATAAATACTAAGTGGCGATGGAGCTTTATCTGGGTGTGCATCTTCCTCCTATCTTTGTCTTGTGTTGCTAGACAAATTATTAACCAATGCTCTACGAGTTAGACGGGGTTGACTACGGATTCTTCATGGCGGCAGATATGATGTTGCTTTTGAACCAATTATTCACTTCTTTAGAGATTGCTCCTTTGTTGCTAAGGTTTGGAGAAGTTTTCCTGTTTCCTGATCAATTTTTACCGATGCATGTACTACTAATTGATTCCAAAATAATTTCTCTTCCAAAACATTAGTCTTGGATAATTTGGAATAGAGGCTTATTTTTTGTATCATTTGTTGGTTCTTGTTGCCCTGACGAAACAAATTAAAGTATTTTTGAACATGATTTTGCTCTCCATAATGATCCAAATCTATTATTATTGCCTACTTGAAAGATTGGCTTCAAAGGAAGATGGTTTCCTCCATAATGCCCATTCGAACACATGTTTTCTTTATTGGGAATCTCCTCCTGAGGGTTGGATAAAGCTTAATGTTATGGGCGTCACAAGAGATGGCCAATTTCATTGATGTTGGTGGTGACGTTAGAAACACGTCGAGGTAGGTTTATGGCTTTTATTCTAATCCTGGTCAAGGTGAGATCTTATGTGCTTGCAGTACAATTGATTTCAAATGCAAAAGTGGATAATCACCTTCTAGGAAGTTTATTATTGAATTGTCGTACCCTTATTGTAAAATTCGTAAGCTCTTCCTTCTTGTCATCAATTGCTAGTTATAGATATAAGTGAGGTCTCGTGGCCTCGTAATATTCTTATGTAATTTTTCCTTTTCTTTCGGGCTTATGCCCTGTTGTCAACCAACAAAATTTGAAACTTTTGAGTGCCTCCAAAAACAAGGTTAAATATATATCTTTGCACGGAAAATATATGTTAACTACTTAATTACGTATCTTCTCAGTTAAATACCAATTTTATATCTTTTTGCTTTACTAAAATATTTGACCAATTTGGACCTTCTGTTTTACTCTGTTAACAGTCTTTGTCCCTCCGGACCAAAAAATGAAAAAAACAAACAAAAAAACAAGAAAGAAAAACAAAACTTGGTCCCTACTTTCTAGTGTGACGTTAATATAATCTGATGCACATGCTTCATCTAGAAGGTTGATCACTTCACATCACTTGTGCAATCTGTGTAAATTTCTTTATCCAAAATTTCAGTATTTCAATTCAATCCAAAACTGCTGTAATAAGTGTCCGGATCAATCTAGAGAAATGTAGAACAAATCGATGACTTTAGGAAATTTATGATTACACCTCTGCTGGGCAAATTTGATACCAAGGGTCCCAAATATTTGTCTAACCTGCTGACAAACCTGCTAGACAGAAATGAAATCATGCACGTTGCTGCCCTTCTTTTAAAGAACCAAAATCCAAGCTGTTAGTGGCCTCTGAATTATTGACTTGGCCCGATTGATCAGTCCATAATCTGCGTTTATTTGTACGTACTACTACTTGTTAGCTAATCCAATATTGCACCACTTCTAGGACCAAGTTGTTTTCAATGGGGAATATAATATTAGTCCACTTATAAAGGGATCAATACTTGTATTGCCATCGGTGGGGGCCGAGCTACTATTTTCTTCTTCATTGAAACACGGACTAACGTATATATTTTTGTATCGGTCGGCAAACATAAACATAAACATAATTAAGGGGTCCAATTTATAAATGCATGCATTATGTATTTCCTACCAAGTACAAAACATGAGACGTTTAATAACCATTTTTTTTGTAGTTTTTTGTTTTGATTTTTTGTTTATGAGATATGAGGAAAATATATAGAGGGGGAAGGGAGGAAGAAAGGTGATGGGAGATGGGAAAAGAAAGAAGGAAGAGTGAACAAAACAAAAACTTTTTTTTACAACAAAACAAAAACTAATTGAAAGTGAAAACAACTTAAAACAATTTTTTGCTGTTGGTTTAGTGTTCATCTTTTTAGTTTTTCTTTTGTCTTTTTCGTAATATCATTCATCCACTCTTCTTCGACTCTCATTTTCCTTACATTTTTCTTTATTACACTAACACAAAAATAAAAACTAAAAACGAAATAATTATTTAACGAGCTAAACAAATTGAATTTGAATTACGGTAAATTGTTATCTTCTCCAACAGAGCTTTATTAATTAACAAGAACATTCACACTTGGAGATGTTCCAGTTTTGTCTCGTTTTCTTTAATTTTTTTTTTTAAGACTGTCTTCGATATGATCATTTGGTAAAACAGCCCCACCACCTACTTTTGGATCAATCGTCTAAATTCTAAATATCTAAATAGGTTAACCCTCCAGAGATTTTGAGTTCTTTCGGTTAAAAGAAAACTAGATTCTATGTGGTTTATATTCACATTTTGACAATATAAACATATTTTGTGTTGATTAACATATATATGGAAACATATAATATATAATCTGCCAATGATTGCATTACTCGTTGGGAAAATAGTTGTTATAAACTACAAAAGTACAAGTTGAAGCATGATAGTTTTAACTTACCAAACACAAACATTTGAATACTTAAAACACGCGCATACAGATTTATAGGCCTACCTCTGCAGCAGTCCTTCTACCTCTTTTCGATCCCAACAAATGTGGTTGGTTGGTCTCTAGCTGAAGACCATCTGAGTTGAGAAACTAAAGGGAGTTTTGGTTGTCCTTAGCTTTGGCTCCTAACAAATATTTGCTTCCTCCTTGCGACGTCCATCTTGGTTGTCCTATATTGCAAAGAAAAACAAAAAAGAAAAGAGCCTCGTGTCAGGGTTTTTATTTTTTTCGTGAAGCTTTGCATGTCCCAGTAAAATGTACAAGTGGATTCCCTCGAAATCGTGAAAACATATTTAACTGACGAGTAACTTATGCATTCTCATTTTCATTTTTACGCTCTCCTCTTTTATCTATCCGTTAAATGACTTGTACGCACGGTGTAGGTACATTCAAATAGAGACATGGAGGCAATCTTTTTCCTCCTTTTGTGATTCTTGCTAGAGTTAGATTATATACGACCGTTTTGTCTTTAGAGATTTGCTGTCACCGTCACCGTCAGTGTGCAAGTAAATGGACTAAGGGGTGGTTTGGGAGTGAGGTGCTTAAAAAAAAAAGCAACTATGAAAAAAAACTGTGAAGGTTTTAGGTGTTTGGTAAACTGAGAAAAAAAAGTTTATTTTGGAAGCTGTTGTGAGAATAAGCTGGAATCAAAGGAAAAAGCTGAAGCTGCTATTTGCAACTTTGGAAAACTGGCTTTTTTTTCAAAGCACACGGAGCTACAGTGCTCATTTAATGAAAATACTCACTATCAGACTGCTTTTTTTTCCAAAAGCACTTTTACAAAAAAAGTTTACCAAACACTCTGCTGATTTATTTCACATCCGCTTATTTTCACAACAGTTTTTTTTCAAAGCACAGCAATACCAAACCAGCCCTAACACTGCATCTTACCTAACACGACTGTGATGAGTCAAACTATGAGATATTTACAAGGCAAAAACAGAGAGAAAGTAAAAGAAGAACTCCTGCATGCATATGGTAATACAATTAAAAATGAGCATTCACTGATAACTAAGATTTGCATTAATATTTATTATTGAAACTACCTAGCTACTTAACCAATAATTGGTTAAGTACTCTTACAACTCGATCAACTGTGTACACTGATTAATATAAAAATATCACTCTCTGACATGAGCGCGCACCCTCTCATAGAACTAGAGAACCAGAGAACTTCAACTGTGTACTACTCCATTGCTAGCTAGCTGGAGATATATTTTAATTGGTGGAGTTGGATTCAGATAGGAACCAATTGGTGAAGTTTTGGAGGGTAGCTTCATCAGCCCTGTAATGGTATTGAGTGAATCGGAGCAAATCTGACCATGTGAAATCCGGGTACTTTCTTGTCTCTTGTTCTTTGCGCAGAAGATCCTCGGGGGGCTTCACAACCTTGTCATCCCTTGGGCACAAAAAGAATGCCAACGATCTCCTCTCCTTGCGCCTGTTCACCATTGCCCTGTGCAAGCAACTCTTGTATTTCCCATTCGATAATGCCTATATATAAACATAATTAAAATATCGATTAATTAATTAAAAAATTAGTTAAACTATATAATTATTGGCCAACAGGATCCTCTCCGGATCCTTTTAGTGAGAATCTTAGGGATCCATGAATAGTGTCCGTTCATCGTATTTGATGCGGTCAATTTTTATCAGCTACTGTTTGTGTTTAATTTTAAATAAAAATATTTAAAATGATTTCTGACCGTACGATATACGATAAAATGACACGATTCACGGATTCCTAAGATCCTCACAAAGAGGATCCGGCAAGGATCCGGATTCAATTATTGGTAATCAGCACTATTCAACTTTATGAGAACAAAATACATAGTGCAAGTTGGCCCTTTACCACAATGAAAAGATGTTGAATTCTTGTGTTATGGCCTGATTTTGAATCATGTCAGCTCCTAATCTAACTAAATTTATATAGAGTATATATGTGCATGCAGGGAACAATTTATACACAAACAATTACTTAGATAATGTTAATTGATGGGGCATTGATTATTATTTTCATTACATTCTTCAATACTCTCAACATATCCATCATGATACTACCTGTTCCCAGTGGCTTTGAGTACTCATTGCTTGTCTGCCATGTCATACATTGAAACTCATTAATTCGGTTTTTTTCTAGAATATACCTATGCAAAACCCTAATATTTGCACAAAAAATATGCATGTGTGTACGTGTGTGCAACAAAATCACAGATTGTACAAATGCTAATGGGGGCCGGCCACTAGCCACTAGGATTCTTGTATTTTCTGTTAACACTAACCTAGCCCCCATATCAATCCTTTACCATTCTTGTACGTCAAGATTTCCTAATATCCATAATCTGGAACATTGATGGAAAGACACCTTGTTTTTTTCTTTTTGTTGGAGTAGCCACAGTTTTTTTCCTAAAATTGATTAATCTATGAAACCATAGTGGTGCCACGTACAAATTTGGTGGGGAAACCAATATGACTCAAGCATAATTACTATCTTAAATAGAGTAATATTATTCATATCATATTTTTGTACCACATTTCTATACCACTTTAGGTGGCATCTGATGTAGATTGCCACATCATTTGAAAAATTTACAAAACCTAAGGAAATGAATAAGAAAGACTCCTCGTATACCATAATCATCATTTAATTAACTAGTTTTTCTTAATTATTAGTTTATTAAATAATGAACCAAATTTAAAAATCTAATTAATTCAAATGATGTGGCTGTCCATATCAAATGTCACCTAAGGTGATATGAAAATGTGGTACAAAAACATGATATGAATAACATTACTCTTCTAGATATTCCTTATCAATTATAAGAGCATGTATGCGTACCGAGAAGGTGTCACCAATGTTGATGACTAGGGCACCTTGAATCGGTCGAACCGAATGCCACTTCTTGTTGACAAACACATCAAGCCCTCCAACTTGGTCTTGATTGAGTATGGTCAAGGATGTTGGATCACAATGAGGTCCGGTTCCGAGAGTAAGACTTGGCTCTTGGCAAGTCGGGTAGAAGTTGCACCTCATGATTGAGTGAGCATCCTCAAAAAATTCTCTGTAATGCATCCGATCCACTCCCAAGCTGATTGCAAGCAGCTCCATTATTGAAAGAGCCAAAACATTCATTGATTCACAGTACTTTTGATAGACCAGCCTATATACAACAAATAGAAAATTTCATTTTAATCCTTAAAAAAGATGAGTTTAGATTATAACCATATGTAAGATTAAAATCCAATTTTAGTCCCTAGCACATTTAATCATATCATTTATTAGTTGTATTTTGATGTTTTATTTTATCCTTTTATTTTTATTTTAATGTATTAATTACATTTAAATTTAATTTTTATTTCATTCATCATAATATATTTTAATGTCTACATTTAGGCAACTAATTTTTTTATAATATATATTCCGATAACAATTTTGTATGTTCTTTATTTAGGTACATTAATACATTTGAATATTTTTGTATATCCATCGGTACAAACATGTAGTTACATTGATTCAATATAACGCATTTCGGTCAATATAATGTATTTCGTTACGTACACTTTGGTACACACATTTGAGTATTGACTTTTAGGTACATTAATTCAATTATTATATTTCGGTAAATACATTTTGGTATTGATATTTAGGTACATACATTTTCGGTATTGACATTTAGGTACATACATTTCGGTATTGACATTTAGGTACATTAATTCAATATAATACATTTCGGTACATACATTTAGGTTCATTATAATATATTTCGGTACAAAAAGTCAATTTTATATATTTTGGCACAATCATTTATGAACACTTATGTATTTATATATTTTTGTATCACAATTTTTTTTTAATATTTCTCATTTACATTCATTTCTAATTAAAAAAAACTAAATATGTGCATATTAATAAAATTAAAATTTAATATGGAGAGATTAAATAAAAATACACATTAAATAACAAAAATTGAATGTAAATTTTGATAAAAGTACACCCAAGGGATTAAATTGAATATTTAATCTAGCACCAGATTTTTTTTAAATTTTAATCTTTTACAAGGATTAATGTTCAAAAATCCCTTTGTTTGCAAGAACTAAATTAAACACATCCAGCTTGTTTATAAATATACTATTTAGAAAATGCTGCCCACACGTGTAAGAAAAACAAACGTAATTAGTGTGAGTCATGTAGCACTACTGATCATGTACCATTTATAAATAAGACTTACCCTGTTTGTTCAAAATCTTCGCCTAGTTTGGATTTGAAGAAATCCGCCACAACTGTGTCGGTGCCATTCGCTTGGAAACCAAAAGACAAAGTTTCCTTCCATGGCAAATTGGTTGAGAATCGATCAGCATGAGACCCAGAATAACCCCAAGGGCTACCAGGTACCCTTTTCACCTTTGCTTTCTCTTCGACGGGGAGCTTGAAGAAATGATCCATGTGATCATCAGCGAGTTTGAGGAGATTTGGATCAACGCCGTGGTTGGTCACTTGGAAAAAACCATGGCTCAAGCAAGATGCCCTAATGAGTTTGGCAGCATGCTCGGTTGCCACAGCATCACCCTTGAAGAAACCCTCAAGATCCACCAATGGTTCATTGAGCTCCTCAAGAGCAGCAACCAAGTGACTTTCAGGCCAAATGAAACCAGTGGGGACATGGGATTGTTTTTGCAAATATGATGAGTCAATGAAAGGAGCAATACCTCCCTTTTGGATATGGCTATTGGTTTCCTGATGGTTTTCGAGCTTTGATGGAGAGGACAAGAGAACTGAGGCACTCGAATCCATAGTTTGGTATTGTAGGACACGGACAATTTTCTTTTTCCGCTAAGGAGACGGACAATTGTGAGAATAGGCCAAGATAGGTTCCAATTTATGTAGAATTTATAAGAGGAGTGTTCCAAAGGGTGTTGAAAGAAACTTGGGGTCTAGTATTTGGATGGCCAAGACGTTCGTGTGTATCCACGATTATACTTGGAAATTGATTTCAAAGGAAATATTTGGCTGAATGACCGATCTGTATTTCGTTGCCAAAACACTGAATCTTATCGGTAATTTTTTTGGTATGTAATGAGCATATTTGGAAGATTGATTTTAAAGAAAATATAGAGGTTGGATCCTTTTCCATGTATAAAATGAACACAATAATGAGTTGGGTGTACATTGAACACAATAATGAATTTGATTAAAACATCTTATAGTAAATTTCTCTTACCAAAACACAAGAAATCGTTTACTAATTTTCTATGACGGATCTAGGAAAAATAATTCGAAAGGCCATATGTAAAAATTCACAAACATTTCTTAGACATATAATAATCTTAGGGTCCGCCCTTGCTAATTTTGTATTTTATTTTATATAAATACAATGTACTTGAAATAACTACATACAATTCACATTAATTAGATAAGAAGAAACCAAATATAGAAGTAAACACGATAGACAACCGCCACTAAAACTCATGTATTTGGGAAGTAAACCAAATTGAGAAGTAAATACGATAGACAATGAGCCACTAGTACTACGGTCTAGTGGTATTCCTTCTCACTGATTAGTGAGAGGTCTTAGGTTCAACTCTCGCCAAAGGCGACACCCCATCTCCTTAGTGTAGATAATATCGATTTGTTAAAAAAAAAAAAAAAAAAACAAAACGATAGACAATGAACACAGTAATGAGTTGGGTGTATTGTATGTGGCGTGTACATTGAACACAGTAAGAATTGGTTAAAACATCTTAATACAATTATATATGTTTGGGTTTATCCTTTGTATACCTACATGTAAGGTAAATTTCTCTTACCAAAACACACGAAATCAATTTAGGGCCCATTTGAAGTGTTTTCTAAATGACTAAAACTACTTTTGGTGAAATTGATTTTAGTTTCCAAAGGCACTTTGAGTGTTTTTTGGAAGAAGCACCTGGTGCTTCTTGCAGAAAACACTTTGTGTGCTTTTCTAGGACTCACTTGAATTTTGACTAAGGATTTGTTTCAAGAATATTTTCACCAAAACACTTTCAGTCATTTAAAAGCACTTCCAAATGAGCTCTGATTTTGTTACAAAATACAATGTATTTTATCTATATCTAAACCACATATTAATGAAACCCTTTTTGTCAACCAAAAGAGGGTGAAAATACATTTTTGTCTTCTATTACAACAAAAAATTTAAGGACAATGACGTAATTTCATATAACAAAATTTTGCTATTTTTGTTTAAGCCTCACCTACAAATGGTTCTATCTCTCTAATATTTTAAAAATAAAAAATAAACATTTCTCCCTTTCTCCCCACTCCCACGTTTTGTCTCTCTCTTCCTCTCTCCTCCAATTTTAAAACAAAAATGAAAAATTTCACACACATTTTATGTGTTGGCATATACTGGTATATATAAAGGGAGAAGGAAAAAATGGTGAAACATTCATAATTTCAAAATTGCCCTTTTCCCCATTAAATTTTCAAATAAAGTAAATAATTTACAAAAAAAATAACCCCATGGATTAGTTAGTAACTAACTTTATTATTTTCTAAAATATATTATTATTTTGTTTTTTCAAATAAAAAATAAAAAAGTCAACGCATGTGGCAAGAGATTAGTTTTATATAAACTAGTATATGCCCACACATAAAATGTATGTGAAATTTTTCATTTTTGTTTTTAAAATTGAAGGAGAGGAAGAGAGACATAACGTGGAGGAGAGATGGAGAAGGGTTTATTATTTATTTTTTTTAAATTAGAGATGATAGAATCATCTGTAGGCAAGGTTTAAACAAAAAAATTAAAAATTTATTTTGTGAAATCCTTAACTTTTTTGTTGTAATAAAAGATAAAAATGTCTTTTCACCGTATTTTGGTTGATAAAGAGGATTTCATTAAGGGAAGTGTTATTGACACTCAAAAATTCTTATTCTACACTCTTCACAAGTGTTTTTTCTTTCTTTCCTAATATAGAAAGTTTGGAGTGTAGAATGAGATTTTTGAAATGCTAATAACAATTTCCTTTCATTAATATGTAGTTTAAATACAATATATTTGAAATCACTACATATAGTCCACATTAATTAGATAAGAAATAACCAAATTGAAGTAAACACGATAGACACCGCCAATAAAACTCATGTGTTTGGTTCCCCTCATCATTAGGGGCATTTTAGGCAACCGAAAATATAAATTGGGTGAAATTAAATTAAATTAAATTAAATTAAATTAATGAATTTGCTTAGTTAGTGTTAGAGAAAATACTTGTGGTTCTTAAATAAAGAAAATTGAATTTTAAGGGGTAAGTCACATTTTTATACTGAAAATCACACACCCGTTGCATAATTTAAGGTTGAAAATGTGACATCATCCATATGACTAACCCTAAACTGCATCAAGAATCCATGGTTAGGCAGCTTAATTAGCCTCTCTTGCCACTTAGTACTACGGTATAGTGGTATTCCTCTTCACTTGTAAGTGAGAGATCTTATGTTCAATTCTTGCCAAATGCGAGTTTGAACCACATTATTGCTAGCCCATTGTGAGGCTAAGTCCATCACTTCTCTCTTTAGTGTAGATAATATCGTTTGTTAAAAAAAAAAAAAAATTAGCCTTTCTTATCCTCAAATTTTTTCATTAGAAAATAGCAAATGCTAAACAAAGGGTTAATTAAACTAACACTCTTTGAGGTTTATTGGGTTTTCACAAAATCCCTAGCTCTTGAGACATTACACTAACATCCCCTTGGTTTTAATTCCCTTGTCATCTAACCCTTTGAGTAAAAAATTTGCTTGTAAATTACTTAACGACCCTCTTATTATTACTTGAAACTAATAAAGAAAAGCTTTACAATTATATATTAAAAAAATTATAAAACATTAAAAAAATTTAAAAGGACAATACGACAATGATCGCAACATCAACCCCGAGGGTTTTGTATTGTAATTTTAATTCCACTATTGATTCCTTGGGGCCGTCCAAGACAATGAAGATCTGGGTTGTCGCTCTAATTTTTCATTTGAGATACAATTATACAAAGAATCCAAATTGAATCTTAAATTCGATTTACTAAAACCTACACAGAAACCGTATAGGCTGGTTGGACACGACGACATCGGTGAAAACCAAATTAATGAGCTTGGCGAGATAAACAACTATGTCGTCCCTGCCTCTGACGTTTTGATTTCTAAATTTTTTGTTTTTTAATATATAATGTTTTAATTTGATTTTTTTTTCTATATATTTATAAAGATTTTCTTATTCAACAAAAATATGAACTTTTCTTTACTTGTAAGGGTAAATTAGTAAATTTATAACTAGATTTTTTTACTCAAGAGGTTATACGAAAGGGAATTAAAATCTGAAAGTGTATTAATGTAATGACTCAAACATGAGTCAATTGTGTGAAAAATTAATAAATCTCAAAAAATGTTAATGTAATTAACCTGCTAAACAGAAGATGAAGTGCTTCCAGCCAAGGTCTTAAATGCCAATAATATTGACGATATTTCGCTGATTTATCGGTTTTTCACGTTACCGATATTTTAATGGTTATCCAATTAGTTTTCGTCAAAATATCGCGATATTATTGATATTATCGATAATATCGCTCTCTCTCTCCATCGTCGGAACGGCAGCCGAGCTCTGTCGTGGCAGCACCAAGATATGCGCCTCTCTCTGCCAAGATCTGCGCCTCTCACAGGTGGTGATGGTGCTCGCAGGAGTGTGCGCTACTCTGGTGGAGGTCACTGTGGGGTGGGAGTGGTGTGTCTCCCCTCCGCTCGCTCGCTCACTATCTATTCTTTCTGCGGTGGTGAACGAAGGAATTCTGCTGTTGTGCAGTGCAGCAAATCGAACTAATTTGAGCTTCACACTAACACGGAGAGAGAGATTCAAGACTTACCTAATCGGAAAATCAAAGAAGACTCGCCGGAGAGTTTATGGGCTCCGCCATTCTCACAAGGCGGGAGAGATAAGACTGATGATGTGTGATGATGGTGGTGTCCTCGAGCTGCTCGAGTGGAGCAGATGGTGCTGCTGCGTGTGTGTGTGTGGTCACGGCAAGAGAGGGAGAGAGGTAAGAGGGGTTCGAGAGAGAGACAGTGCAGAGAAGAGAGAGATAGTCGAAGTGAGTGAGAGAAGGAAATGGGGTCTCGGGGTAGGGGAGAGAGAGAGAGAAACGTGATGAGTGCTGGGGGGGCTGCCACGTGGCAGCCTGAGAGGGTTTCGAAATCCAGATATAGAGTTCAGATTTAATTAGGATAAAGGACTAATTTGATAGTTCCAAATACACTCACAATGTTTGCCAGCTCGTTATATAATCAACTTAAATCAGTTAAATCCATCATGCAATGCATTTCCTTCTAATTTTTTGTGATAAACTAATAAATAATTGACTAAATAAACACCCTACAAAGTTTCAATAAAAATTTCCAAGTTTTTCTTACAATTTCCGTGGTTTTTATTCAATTTTTATCGATATCAATAATATTCCGATATTTCCATCGATATTTCCGTATTTTTGAACTACCGATATTTCCGATATCATCGATATTTTATACCTTACTTCCAGCCGACAGGGATATCTAGTTTTTATTTAATCCTTTTGATTTGTAGCAATATATATCAAAACGGCTTCACGTGAACTCGACATTCTTGTTTTTCTCAAGGACACAATATCTCTCATATGTATGGCCTACCTGTCCTTCCTTTGTTTTGTTTTGTTTTTTTATTTTTTTTTTTTGCTGAAACAGTGTCAAAGTTTAGGGTTGATGGAATTTTTGAGACAATTATGGAGAGGATTCGAACGGATCAATCCAACGTCAACTGTTGAAGATGGAAATTTTGATGTGTTTGGATTTTGGATTGATAACATAGATAAACTCAGAGTCAAGCTCACTTTGTAGCATCTTATGAGTTGTTAAATTTATGCATTGAAAA